CGCATACACCTCACCCTCCCAAGACCCATCACACTAGCATGTTGTTGTTGTTGGCTTGTTGCATAAGCTGATTTCCTCTGGTCTAAGCATCACTTTTATGAACAGGTAGGTATCGGTTCGAACGAACAGTAAGTTCATGTTATGACAATAGAAGCTAATTTACCTGTGGAGAAACCATGCAATTAAAGGAAGATTGAAAGATTATCTTAAAGAACAGTTAGGCCATAGTGCAACCACGTTTAGGTGCTTCAACCTTCCAATAAAGAATGCTTCAGCTGCTCCAACTTAAGGGTCAGTTTGGAGGGAAAGATGATGAAGATCCACTCCTACATGATTTAAAGATTTCATCAGTGTATGCTCTCTCCCCGCCCCGAGCAGACATATTAATTAGCTTTGCCTATTCCCCGGCCCTACTCGAAGCTTCTCTCACGTGGCTGAATTATCTGCCACCTAACTCTATCTGCAATTGTTTTTGAGTCCTGCGACCAAGTCTATATATATAAGAGATAGAAGCATGGGATAGATTATATTTAAAGGAAAGTTGATTATTTCGGATTTGGTGGTTATATATGGAACAATTCCACTATGGGCTGAATGAAATGACGACTCAATCTATGGTCGATGCTTCAAACATATGCTGATGCGGAAGTATTACTTGACACAATGGCGGAAAATGGTTACCGCAAAACCACGTGATCTTACCGGCTGGGAATGAGATTGCCTCTGACCTAATTCCACTCCAGGGATTGTTAAACAAATACCCCGTCAGATTTAATGATTATTTTTTCTAGCCGCTATACATAAATTGTACACAATTATTTATGTATTATACATGATTTAAGAGATTAGATGGATGACTATTTGAGTTAATTCTTCTTTTTTTCTTGTGCTGAGTGGATTCAACTATTTATGTATAGGTACAAAAAAAGTTTATTTTTACCCTATATAGGAGTATGATTTTTCAATGAAAGCATGGGGACTTGCCTAGTGATACCTCTTTGAGATAGATCCAAGATTTGAAGTTGGTGAATAGAAAAATAAATGAAGCTTTTTTGGATTACTATAAATGAAGCTATAGTTTTTTAAAAAAAATTATATTTTATATATATAAGGGAAGTAGAAGCGAACCCTCACCAATATGGTAAAAGTTATAACCAACCAGCTATTAAGATTCTCCGAAGCTATAGTTACAGATTATAATTAAGAGTTTTTTTTTTTTTTTTTTTTTTTTTTTTTTTGCATTTACATATTTTGTTCTATATATATGTAAGTTTGTTGGGTGAAATTAAAAAACAGCCAGATTTACAACTGGTTCTTTAAAAATAGCCCAATTTCAAAAGTAATCGAAATTTAGCCACTTTTCATATAAAAATGAATCTGAGCGAAAACACTGTTAAAAATCCGGAAAATACGCCAGTATATTATGCTGGAGTTCCAGCATAAGTATACTTGAACTCCAGCATATTATACTGGAGTTCCAAGATAAGTATGTTGGAACTCCAGCATAATATACTAGAGTTTGGAGCACCGGTGCTCCAAACTCTAGTATATTATGCTGGAGTTCTAGTGTACTTATGCTGGAACTCCATCATATTATGCTGGAGTTCTAGTGTACTTATGCTGGAACTCCATCATATTATGCTGGAGTTCTAGTGTACTTATGCTGGAACTCCATCATATTATGCTGGAGTTCTAGTGTACTTATGCTGGAACTCCATCATATTATGCTGGAGTTCTAGTGTACTTATGCTGGAACTCCATCATATTATGCTGGAGTTCTAGTGTACTTATGCTGGAACTCCATCATATTATGCTGGAGTTCTAGTGTACTTATGCTGGAACTCCATCATATTATGCTGGAGTTCTAGTGTACTTATGCTGGAACTCCATCATATTATGCTGGAGTTCCAACATACTTATCTTGGAACTCCAGTATAATATGCTGGAGTTCATACACAGGTGCACCGAACTCCAATATATTATGACCGGTCTCTGCTGTAACAAAATAGTGGCTATTTTTTATTGACTTGGTAAACGCTGGCTATTTTTGAATGATCAATCCGAAAACTGGTTATACCGTGCTATTTTTACAAGTTTGTTGTGTTCTAGTGTCACCTTTAACCGTTTACCATACATATGTATTAGGCTGATGTGGCCCAAGCCCAAAGCCATACAATGTCTATCCAAAGGGTGTGACAGAGATATTGAAGTGAATGAAAATCATGTAGAAATTTAATATTTGTTTAAATTTTATTAATTTTAGCAAAAATGTTGCGTTCTTTACTAATAAATGTATTTTTATTTTGTATTCTATCTCACATAAAATAATACATAAATTTATATATATCTATGCTGATATAATTTATACGCGCAACCAAATGATATATTCGCAATGTTGAACTTTAGGCAGGTATTATTACAAGGAATTTTTTCATTCCTATACACTATTTGAAACTTTATTATCCTTAATGTTCATGTTTAGCTAATTATCTGGCATAAACAAGTTTTGTTTACAAAATATATATAATCTACCTTAAAAGGCTCCCAAATCCATTATTTGTGTCTTCAATCAAGAGATTTAATTACACCCTTTTTCTTCTTCTTTTTTCCTTCTTCTCTTTCCTTATTTTTGCGATATTATTTGTGGCACTACCGTTATGCAGATTGATTCCCACATTTCAAGAAAAACAATCATAATCTTCTTTTTCACCCCTCCTCTTTAATACTATGAAAGCCTATCGCGTCATAAAAGAAAGAAAAGCCATCACACTGGTAGGACACAATTGCACAGGAAACCTAGAATCGAGTCAAAAGCAACAAATTAATCCATCTACTAAAAAATTATGAATCTGGATATAAATACTAATAAATTATTCTCTAATAGCAAGCAAAGTTGTTTCAATATATTACGGAAAGTATATGTGAGTTGTCCAAAATGCAACTCAACGTACCAATATTGGATTAGAATTTAGTTTTTGGCACCTTTGAGGTGCACGGACCTTTACAAGTTCGTCACAGGCTGGCTCGAAAAAGCATATGAATTATTAAACCAGACCCATTATTTTTATTTCTACCGCGTTATATATTATACAATTTATCTACACTTTCATACATTATTTCTACCAATTATATACAACTACAATAACATACGACTTAAATATAAAATTTATACAATATGTCTTTTGTATATTCTGTATTTGATTTATACATAGTAAAAATAAATTTCATACAACTAATTATATATTATACAACTTATCTACAATTTTCGTACATTATTTCTACTCAGTTATATACAACTACAATATCATACAACTTAGATATAATTTTTATACAATGTTGTTCAACTTTCATACAATAGTTAAATGAATAAAAGAAAAATAAATAAACAACAGAATACAATTTTTCTACAATTTCTGCAATATAATGTATGTCATGCCTTCTTCTTCTTCTTCTTCAAGTTTCAATCTGAAATTCAGCCAAAACCAAGTCTAATCTTCACCAAAACCTCTCAAAATTGAGATATAAACTCCAAACCATATTTCCAATTATTTGCCCAATGCAAACAAATAATGATTTTTGAAAACCCAAATTCGAATTCAAAGCTTCAAAGCTTTTTAATGGCTGTCAATGGTGGAATTGCTGCTCCCTTTTTCTTTGCTTTATATTACTGAAATTTGGGATTGAGAGATAGAGAGAGACGTAGAGAGAATTCTCAGTTCTTTGCAACAACATCCAATCCAAACAAACAATGTCTTTTGAAAACCCAAACTCGAATTCAAAGCTTCAAAGTTTTTTAATGGTTGTCATTGGTGGAGGGGTTACAGATTTTTGCTGGTTTTAGAAGCGGAAATAGTGAGTGATTGAAGAGGAAATCGTAAGGTGTGGTTTGATACGTGGGTGATGGGGTGGGATTTGGAGAGAGAAAGTTGGGGGGAGTGGGAATATACGGTAGAGTTAAATTAGGATACTAATTAATACCATTAAAACCCCTAAAATGTACATAAATAATAATTAAGTATATAAAAGATAATTATATTAAAAATTAAGCATGAAGGATAATATAGTTTACTATATGGCGTAAAAATCCCTTATTACAATATGCATCAAACCCAAACGACTCTTAAAAGCATTAAACTTGGAATTCCATGGACATTATGAGTTGCAACTTGTTATCCACTTGCCACACATTAAAAGTAGAATAAGAAGGCACTAATGGATTATACATTTGGAAGCGTGGCATTTCTTTTAGTTGGATTCTCTTTCATAATGTCTAATACTCACATGTGCATGAAACTGATATTTCAGACACGATTTGGACCCATAGAAAGTCTTCGTTTATCCACTTGCATTTTATAAAGCAAAGAAATTGATTTATCGTCTAACCTATAGTTGAATAGTTAGCGTGTGCCCATTTCTGGTAGTCAATTTTGAGGTATAACTACCTACATTTCTTAATCATTTTTTTCATTACGTATTCTGTATATCTTTTTTCGTCTTTTAGCTCATGTCTCTTCGTGGGCGTTTGGGCATCAGAATCGTAAAATTCCAAAAAAAAAAAATGGTATTTGAAAATTAGAATTGTGTTTGGACATGACTACAATTTGGAGCTATTTTTGAATTTTTGTGAGTGATTTGAAGTGAAAAATAGCTTTTTGGAGTTTTTAAAATTTCCGTAAAATTCCAAAATGCAACTTCAAGTGAAATGAATATTTCATGGACAAACACTGATTCAGAAAAAAGTAAAAAAATGAAAATTTCTCATGGCCAAACGGGCCCTTAGTATAAAATTTTGTCAACTTATAAACATAACGCAGCCTTTAGCGTGTAAAAGGTCAAACTTAATGGCAAGAAAGAATATCCCGTTCATTGAGTAACAAAAACTAGTTATCACTTTTAAATTATAACTTCAGCAGCTACCCCGAATCTGTCACCAAATTTATGTATATATCATACTGCCACTTTGCTTTTTTGCCATATTCTTTTACTAAACTTTCACAGAAATGAGAGGGCTGTACTTAGTACTTGTCCTATTTTTCTCTTTAATAATTACATTTAAGTTTAGTTCTTGTGCTGGAATTTGCAAAGAAAATGAGAAACGTGCTTTACTAAGGTTAAAGAAAGAAGCAAATGATCCTACAAATATACTCTCCACTTGGATTGATGGCGAAGATTGCTGTAATTGGGAAGGAGTTTTATGCCATAATATAACTGGTTCTGTTATTGAGTTATCCATTAATGGTTGGGATTATGCTGAAATTAAAGGTCTAAAGATTGATAATTTCCATTGGTTGTCAAGTCTTGAAAATCTTAATCATTTGGACATGTCAGGTGTTGATTTAAGTAAAGCTACAAACTGGACTGAGGTGATTAACATGCTTCCTTCTTTGGTTAATCTTCGTTTTTCGAATTGTAGTCTTCATTCAATTCCTTCTGTGTTTGATCATAACAATTCTGTTCTTGAAAATCTTGATCTTTCTTTGAATAACTTTAGTTCTTCGATTCCAGGGTGGGTTTTCAGTTTTAATAATCTTGTTTCTCTTGAATTCATTGGAAGTAATTTCATTGGTTCATTTCCTAAGGGTCCTTTTAACTTGACTTCTTTTACTACATTAAGTGCTTCTAGCAATTTATTTAGTTCAGTTTTGCCTCAATGGTTATTTGATCTAAATAATCTTGAATATCTTGACCTGAGTAATAGTCTTTTAGAGGGTCAAATACCAAGTAAAGTAGGACATTTTTGCAAACTTAGTTATCTTAATCTTGCTATTAATAGCCTGAATTCCACTATCCCAAATTGGCTATATGGATGCAAAAATCTTGAAACACTTGACCTGAGGGAAAACAAACTTGAGGGAACAGTTTCAGATTTCATTTCAAATTTGACATCTCTAACTAGTATTGATATGTCTCTAAATTTACTATCTGGAAAATTACCAAGTGTAATTGGAAAGTTAGGGAAATTAGAAGATCTTGATCTCTCAGAAAATCGATTCGAAGGAGAAGTATCTGAGATTTTCAGTACTATGTATGATTGCCCTCCAATAGGCTCAGGAAATTGTTCTTCTTTGAGAAATTTAAGACTAAATGACAACAAATTAGCTGGAAATCTTCCGAAAGGTTTTGGCCAACTTTCAAATCTACAATTCTGTTTCATGGAAAATAATAAGTTGGAAGGAGTGTTAACAGAAGATCATTTCACTAACTTGACAAATTTGAAGTATTTCCAAGCATCTAAGAGTAATTTGAGTTTAAGTGTGAGTTCTGATTGGATTCCGCCTTTCCAAGCTAGTGACATTTTAATAGGCGGTTGGCGCTTAGGTCCTAAGTTCCCCTTGTGGATCCAATCTCAACAATCAATAATGAATTTGGACATATCAAATGCTGGAATAGTAGGTGAAGTTCCAACTTGGTTCTGGAACTTATCGTCTCAAATTCGTTTCCTCAATATTTCTCATAACCAACTTATTGGTGAAATTCCAACTTTCTCAATTTCCTCAGACTCCATTGGAAGTGGAGGTCCTTGGTTAATATACTTGAATTCCAACAACTTTAGTGGTTCACTCCCTCATATTCCAACCATGGTAACTGAGTTAGACCTTTCAGATAACTCTTTGTCTGAAGGTTTAACTAACTTCTTGTGCGATAAAGGGAATGAATCTTACATGTTAACGATTCTACATCTAGGGGGAAATCATTTGTCCGCAGAAATTCCTGATTGTTGGATGAATTGGCCGGAGTTGCAAGTTCTCAACTTGGGAGAAAATAAGCTTAGTGGAGCTATTCCAAGATCCATTGGTGCTTTAAGCAAATTGAAATCTTTGGACTTGAAAAGAAACAGACTTTCCGGTCCATTGCCTTCATCCTTAAACAACTGCACAAATTTGTGGAAAATAGATTTGAATGAGAATGAGCTTGATGGAAATTTACCACTTTGGTTGGGTACAAAGCTTTCAAATTTGACAGTCCTGAGTCTTCGGTCAAACAAATTCGATGGTGAATTACCCCCAGAATTTTGCCAACTCAGTGATCTCCAAATCTTGGATCTTGCCAACAACAAGTTGTTTGGAGATATACCAATGTGTGTTAACAATTTCACAGCAATGGTCAATGGAAGGAAGATAATTAGAGATGCAGATGAGGAGATGGACTATTCTTATTATGTTGGAGTTTTCAGAGAGAGTGCAAGAGTAGCAACTAAGGGTAACATATACCAGTATGATACCATTTTGTCATTGTTTACAAGTATGGATCTTTCTAACAATAATCTTTCTGGAAACATTCCTATGAATCTTACAACTCTTGTTGGATTGAGATCATTAAATTTCTCCAACAATCACTTGATTGGGAGTATTCCAAAGGACATTGGCAATATGAAGGTGTTAGAATCACTTGATCTTTCAAATAATCAAATTTCTGGTGAAATACCACGAAGCGTTGCGAGTTTGTTTTCTTTAAGCTACTTGAATGTATCTCACAACAATCTAACAGGGAGGATTCCAGTGAGCACTCAGCTTCAAACTTTTAGCTCTTCAACTTTTTCTGGAAATAAACTTTGTGGGATTCCGCTCGTGGAGAGATGCAGTGATGAAGGTGAAAATCCTGAGGTTGGAAATGAAGAAGTTGACAGAAGTGAAGATGACAATGAAGTGGAGTGGTTCTATGTTTCTATGGCAATAGGATTCATTGTGACTTTTTGGGGTGTAAGTGCTCCTTTGCTTTTCATAAGATCGTGGAGACATGCCTATTATCGTTTTTTAGATAGAAAATGGAAATCGTGGCATGCATAATTTGTAAAGATGTGACACTGAGGAGATTTCTGTTCATATATACTTGGTTGTGTTTCAATATTTTGCACATTTAATAGGATGAAATTTGTTAGCACTTCATGTACAATAGGATAAGGAAATTCTTTTGTAATTCAAGAAGTTGCTGTTTTCCTTGTCTCTGCAATTTCAGTTATAATAGAACTGCGACAAGCTTTTGGTCTTAGCTGCAAGCTATATCCCATTTAAATATTTGATTTTAAAGTACAAGGAGCACCTCCATAACTGAATCATAATACAGGGTATTCAACGTAATTTACTCTAGGTATTTTTACAACTTTACACAAACTCAAATGCAAAATAACAAACATCTTTAAATAAAAAAATTTATAGCAGAGAAATAAAATTAGTAACCAATCGTTACACTTGCATGCTCAATCACTTGTGAGTGGATCTTCAACATTGCTCTCTTCTCATACAATAACAAAGCCCATTAAAGTACTTCGAAAATTTGCTCGCCAACCAGCAAGTAAAATTCCCGCCAGAACTACAGTTTTGCTATAATACACACTAGATGTTACAGAATACCTCCCTTTTAAATCACAAATTATTCCTCAAGCCTATCAAACACTTGAGATGCATTTTAGCTGTCACAAGCTCTTCGTAAATATGATAGATTATGAATCCAATGATGCCCTACCAAATGCTTAATTAATGCCTAAAGTGTCTCACATTGGTGAAAACAAGCGAGACTCCGTACTTGTTACAGCAATCCACTGCATCTTTGTCCCTTATGCTCCCTCCTGGCTCTGCAATAACGCTCACTCCGCTTTGACACGCCTCTTCAACAGCGTCATTCCATGCTGTTTTAATTCAGAAAAGAAAAATAGTTAAAGAAAACATGTCTTCACAAAAAATTTCAGTTACAATTCATTATGGTATATTTTCTTAAAATTGGTGCTTTCTTATAAATGTCAGATTTGCTCTATTGCTACATGTATAACCAACAAAATAGAGATATCTACCAAACGGGAAGAAAGCATCGCTCGCCAAAGCGGCTCCTTTTACTTCATCTCCAGCTTTCCTCATAGCTATCCTCAAACTCTCTAGACGATTCGGCTGTCCACTTCCCATTCCTAACATACAATTGTTCTGCAATATAAAAGTTATATTTAGAACACAATGAAAGAAATTCCATCCATTAGATATAGCATGCAAAAAGTACCTTTGCAATTACTATGGCATTGCTCTTGACATGCTTGACACATAACCAGGCAAACTGTGCATCATTAAGCTCATTTTCTTGTGGAGTTTTGTCAGACATGACATTGAATTGGATATCTTCAGGGGTCAAATCATCCGAGTCCTGAGCTAACCAACCACCACCAATCTGTCTGAGTGAAAGCTTTCCCTTGCTGTTTTTACTTGCCTCGAGGATTCTCAAAGTCTTAGATTTCCCACGGAGAACCTCAAGACCCTTCTCTGTATACTTTGGTGCGACTACTATTTCATAAAACATCCTAGTCTCACCATCTGTAGGGCTTCTAAATTCTCGAATATCCTTTGCGAGAGCCTGCAAAGAACCAAAACTGATTAATTAAAAGAGTTATCTACCTTCATGCGACACCTAAATTTAAGTTTGGATTTGCATTTCCTCAACAACTTTAGGTGCGACATAGAAAAACTTAAATTTTTTATTTCAACCCCAACTCCTATAAAAAGCAGTACCAAAACACAAGTTGCAATTTCCCTGACCAAATAACGCTCCATATTCATTTTAACAGCACGAAACATAACCCTTGTTGACAAATAAGGAGAAAGGATGACAAAAACGGTCTTTCTGCACCACAGCTTAAGTCATAATGCTTGGAGCCTCTTTACCTGTTCTCTTATTTGGTTAAATTGTGATTCCACCTTTTTCCCTTTTTGTTGTTCTTTTCTGTGTCTTAGGAGAGTTCTTCCATACACCTCTTATGCACCAGTTGAACTACAAAATTAATTCTATTTTTATCAGTAAATTAATTTTATTGATATCAAAAAATAGTCAAGCACTAAGCTAGTGCTTTACTAAGTGAGAGGCCCTCCTGTACAGAACAAGAAGGATAGGCTCCCCCATACAAAGTCACTCCTAGTGAGCCCTATTCATCACATATATCCTGTAAATTATATGAAGCTGCCAGTAGGCCTAAACACCAATATTTCAAGATCTGAATTGAGCTATTCTTTCCATCAGAACACCTTGCATTCCTCTCTTTACAAAGTACCCAACAGACACAAGCAGGGATAGTAATCCAGCATTTTCTTATTGTCTAGGACAGCAGCACCTCCAACAAATCAGTAGGCCTTTTAACAATTGATGCCTAATTACATTCTGTCCAAAATTGCTGAAAAACAGCCCCCACACTTGTTTGCTGCCCAATACTGTAAGAACAAGTGATTGCAAGTCTCCTTAACTTCATAACACAAAAACATCTGCTGCACAAAGGCAGACCCCTTCTCTGTAGATTACTTTGGGGTGAGGTTAGCTTCATAGGCAGCAATCTGCAAAAAACATGCTACTTTGTAGGGTGCACTTGTTTTCAAAATCATCTTCCATAGCCATTGAGGAGGGCTACCACACCCAGCGTTTAGCCTTTTATAGCATGACCCTACAGAGAATACCCCATTGACTTGTCTTCTCCACCTAAGTGAATCTGTAGCCTCTGGACTTATCGGGGATTATTTTAGCACTTATAATAGCTGAACTAGCCTGTCCATCTTCCAGTAAAAAAGCTGCCTTCTAAAATTAAGGTTCCAAGCACTTCCACTCCGGCACTGACTGATTGCAACTTCTGTACCCACTATCAGATTATACAATTCAGGAAGTTCAATTTGAATTTTGAGGGGAGTATGGCCCAGCCAAGCGTCTCGACGGAACTTTGTACTTCTTCCATCCCCACTCTAATCACAATAATGCTTCAAAGAGTGACTGAGACTGCACATATGCCTTCATACCCCAAAACCATGAGGGGAGCTCACAGAATTCATTCTCCAGATCCTCTTGTCCCTATATTTACAAGCTGTCACCTCTTCTCATGAGGAGAACTACAAGATTACTTCTATTTTTGAAAAGGTATAATGTACTAACAAGATATAAAGCATATCTTCAACGTTCTTTCTTAGTAAAATCATATAACAAAAAGAAAAGATTGATAAGACATAAAAAAGATAATGCACTATACAGCAGTGCAAACACATTGTTCAGATTAGCTCTTCAAAGATTCCAAATAAGGAATGCTAGGTGATGATGGTAGAACCTAATCACTTCAATGTGTTACCCAGATCCTCTTTTTCATTGTTTTTCCACTTAAATATTGATATGAGAGGAGGGAACTAATGGCCCTATCATTATCAAAAAGTGTCGTCTGACAAGACAATGCATCATTACCCATTTAGGTTTCTAGAAAAGAAACAAGAAAAGCCCAATAGCAAAATCATAATCAACAACAGATTCAAATTGTGTCTTTTAAAAGGTCCATTTAGCAACTTTACCTCATCAACTTCGACATTGAAGGCTACTATACCACCAAATGCACTAACTGGATCTGCTTTTACAGCTAGCCTATATGCTTCAATGATATCATTCCGTGACGCTACTCCACAAGGATTTGTATGCTTCACAACCACACACGTTGGTTTATTAAACTCACACACACAGTTCCAAGCTGCATCGGCATCCAGATAGTTGTTATATGACATCTCCTGCATCGAAAAAAAGCCAGTCATTAGCACTGAGCAGAAGTTCCATTCATGCGATGTTTATCCACAACAAATAGACTACGCAGAATTTGAAGATAAGCCAAATCCAGATGAACAATACAAAGTAAACATCAAAATTCTTACCTTCCCGTGGTGTTGGATAACAGTTGCAATTCCACCAGCGTTAACCTCAGATAGAGACTTGTCAACATAAACTGCAGCCTTCTGATGAGGGTTTTCACCATATCGAAGTAAGCTTTTTAGATGAAGTGGCACTGTCAAGCCGGGAGGGAACTTATCTACCAACAGAGACCAAAGACTTCAATCAGCAAAATTGGAGATGAAAAGCACTCCCCCCCCCCCCCCCCCCCTGGTTCACATTTAACATCAGCCCCTTGGTATCTCCAGGGAAAAGAATAAAAAATAAAAGGTTCACTAAAACATTCCATCTCTAAGCACAACGAGGCTGCAGCCTACTGTTAAATAAAAATTCAAATAAATTTGTGATTTGTTTTTCTGTACATACTATTAACCTTTACATTTATTTCAAAAGTAGAGGCAGAGGATGATTGGTTTAATGTTTTAAGTTGTTTGCTGAACCTTTTTTTCATGGGATGAGGGGGAGGGGGGAAGGGAGGGAGCTTTTATAATTCATTGGGCTGTCTGTTTTGAAAGGGAATACCTCCTACAGTCTGCTTCCACAGCCACTCTGAAACTGCAGAATCATAAGAAGCTACATGTTGAAAAGCTTTCCAGGCCAACTTCCTTCGAAATTGTTGGTCATCATTATCTCCTCGAAGAAACTCCAAAAGAGCTGGGTAATCTCCAGAATCAACTACGACCAAAACATCCCTATGATTCTGTTCAATAAGCATCATCCACAGTTAGACACAACAGATACAACACAAAGATTCAGCCAGCATATTTTTCAGAGAAAGCAGTTTAATTAATGTCGGAAAATTTACACAGAGAAGTATACGAGAAGATAGAGAGCCTACCAAAAAAATTCATCAAGTATTATAAAAAGTGCAAGGCCCTAACCATGATTTTACCAGATATAATTTTGTTATTGATATATGCCAGATACAATTGCATCAGGTCAACATTTCATCTAGAAAAGCAATTCATAGTATTTTAGCAAAGCTAAAACATAACTTAACTCCTCCAATACAGATCCTTTATAATGGATAAGAGCATCCTCAACAGCATACAATGGCATTATGAAGCTCAGAGGCAATTTTTAACTTCAGCAGTACCTAAACCTTTCTGATATATTGAGCATCCCT